CCCCCCACCCACACCCCAGCTCTGGCCATTCAGCAGCTGGGAGCTCTGTACTGGTTGGTCCCAGCTGCTTTGAAGGGCCAGAGGTGGAGTAGGGGTGGAGAACACAGCCTCCTCATTTCGTGAGCCTGGCCCAGCTCCCCCACAATACCCCAGCTGGGGTACCTGGGGGGACTTGCAAAGTGAGGGGGCTCCACCCCCCCACTCTGGCCATTCAAAGCATCTGGGAGCTCACGCCCCTTTCCCCTCCCTCCCCTCTGACCGTCCTGCCTCCTGCATGAGAAATGTAGCCTGGCAGGAACACACATTTCCTAAGGTGCTCTACTTTAGAATGCCTTAATGTTATACCCCATTTGACAAGGGTTAATTTTGTGTGTGATCGGCCATTTTAAAAGTGCTCTGCAGCCATGCACATGTGTTAGTTACATCATGGCTATAAAGCACTTTCAGGGACCTGACAGCATGAAAAGCGTCACTTCTGTATGCCACCGATGTGTTTCCTTACTAATAACTCAACGATATTACTGTTTCTAGCTACTTAAGGTTCCTGGATTACTTTTGGTATGCTTGATACTTAGGATATATCATTAGTAACTGGGTTAAAATACTTAGATTACACATTTATTCACTAAAGCGATTCTAAATTTTCATTTTAAGTACTGTAGCAGAATATGGCATAATCCTTTTAGACTCAACATGCCCAAGTTTTTGTTGAAAGTTTGTCTTTAATTCAAATATTCAAAATAAGAGACTACTGCATTAGCCTGGTTTCCCCTCACATATTAATCTGTCCTTGATATTCACAATCCAGCACCTTTCATTTTGAAAATGTCAGTTTTCAGCTAAGAGTGATTTTTATCAGGTAATCAAATAACTTGGAGCAGCAAATCCTGACTTAAATTCACAATCTAAGCTCCACCCATAATAAGAGAAAAAAAAACAAATTTCTGAACTTTCCTGAACACAAACAACTGTATAATAAATCTCACTAAACTGGAATTTGTATTACATTCCATGACATGTAATTATAATTGGAAGAATGAACAACCTGTTATTTTCTCCCTGCGTATAATTAGTCCATACAATTGTCAGAGGTCATTAGTGAAGAAATCATTTGATGAAACAAACATTATTATCTTCATAAATATTCCTTCATATCTTTAAAAAATAGTATTTTATATATTCTTGATAATTATCTAAACATATTAAAAATGCACAGATGTCTCACCTGTGGTAAATGTAACTGGAGCCCCTCACTGGGAATGGGCTGGCGAGAGGGTGTCTGGTCCAGCTGCATGTTAAATAAAGATGCAAGAGCTGATTGAGCAGCCCGAGCCTTTGCAAGTTTTTTGTTCCTTCCTGATCCTTCAAACGTTTGCCCATCCACTGCCACTGCCATCACAAAGTTCTTAGCATGACTTTCTCCACTTTCTGAAAGAAACTCATACTTTAACCCTGGCCTGAGCTCATTCAAAATCATTACAGGGTTCTTTCCACTTGTGGATGGATATGGTGATGGTGTGGGAAGGGGTGACTGGATAAGATTACTAGCCACAGTGGATGCTGACAGACTGTAGTCACCACTGGAGCTAAAGGATCCATCTCCATTGGATCCTAAATAGAAAGAATTGTCAGACTGAACTGGAGTTTCAAATCCATTGAAAAGCGTATCTGGGAAGTCTGCTTGGTCAGATGTAAAGTCTGTGTTTACAGAGAGAGTTCTTCCCATTGCTAGATGTGCTTCAGAGGCATTTGGAAACTGAACAAAAGATCTTAGAGCCTTCTCAGCAGCATGAAGCTTTGCTTTCTTTTTTGTAGGGCCAGATCCCTCAAACATCTGTCCATTAACTTCAACTGCCATCACAAAAATAGGGGCATGAACTGGTCCTGTTTGGGAAAGAAGCTTGTACTGTAAACCAGGCTTAATTTCATTTAGTTGCATCAGTGCATTCTTTGGCAAAACAGGCCCTGGTGTTTTCTTCCTCTTCTTAGGGCGGAACTTGGAGTGGCCATTGTTGCCCTCCTCCAAAGGACGTTTCCTGCTGCTGTTGCCACCACCATTGGAGAGCTGAGTTCCCTCCCCGGCACCTTGCACACTGCCATCCTTAGGTGTAACGTTGTCCATGTTGCGGTTTTCTTTAACGTCAATGCTGCTTGAACCTGTGGTGCCCAGAAAGAGTAACTTACAATGCCTTCGTTGCAGGATCTTGTAAATGTAAAATTTATAGACTCCTTTATCTATCTTTGTAAATGGTTGAGTGATGTGTGCTCACAAATTTATGTCTTTGTAAGACAAACAAAAATCTACAATTTTAGTAATTCAAGAACTATCAGGTTCAATTCCAAGACACAAATTATTCACTTGACATTTCTATTACTATTGTGATGGAAAAAATGCAAAATTTATACTATTATTAAATTACATTTTTTATGAAAAATGTTTTAAAACCAGAAAGATAATTTTAAATCCTAACAATACGTTGGATATTTATACTACAAAATGCTTGTATTAATAAAACCCACAAAATGACCATTTGGGACCAGTAGTAGTAAAACACAGCTTATAATTTAATTTAAGCACTTTTTATTTTAAACACGCTAAAGACATTTATTTGTTTTAAATTGAGAAGTCAGTTGTATGATGTTTGAGTACTTTATGAAAAATTAACAATTTCCTTTTATAGGTCCATTGCTTTAAACATTAATAAATATTTATGCATATGCTCTTCATCTGTTTAAAGTTTGAATCCAGGTCTATACATACACATCTCTTATACAGATATTCAACTACACTGCATTGCACCTCGTTGAGGAAATGATTGATAAATTTTCCCAGTGTTGCTCGCTTAAATTACTGATATCTGCTCATAAAGGGAACACTTACTGAGTAGCACATTAGCAACATTAACATTTTAATCCTAGGAGATTCCAGCAAATAACTAGAGCACTTTTCCCAACCAGACTGACACTTCAATAGTGGGAAACAACTCCCATTGAAACCCAATATTTAGGAAAACATTTCCAAAACTATAAGATTTGGTGTAGCATGCTATAATTAGGTTATAAGAATTATTGTTACTGCCGTTGCTAACAGCTCATTATTTCATAGTGAGGAAACTATTAAAAATGAAGAATATGAATTTAAATAAGCTTATGTGCAATAAAGGGCAATTTTAGTAGTTAAAATTTCTTTTTCAAAAAATTCAAATACCTGGTACTACAACACATCCTCATTGATACAAATAAATATAAATAATAAATTATTTTATCTTACTGTGAAAAGTAATGCAAAATTAAAAGGAAAATGGATAATTTTTTGGCACTTCGGTAGATTTCAAACTTTTATTATTTTTCCCCAAAGTATGACTAGCATGCACACACCACTTCACCCAGTTTACAAAGCTGATGGAATGGTTACTAAATTTTCATTTATAACATCCTCCAGCAAAAGCTCGATAGGTTACTCCTTTTGGTGCTCAAAAAGAAAGAAGATCAAAAGAAAGAGCCAAAGTAGAAACATATATTTTGTTAACAAGTTGGAAAAAGACAGTAAAAATCTGCACAGTATTGGTAAATAAAAGTAAAATTAAAAGATGAAACATTTATACTCCTAAATTAAGAATTTTCTCATTAAAAATGAGCTTTCAAAATTCATTTTATTAAAATAAAATCTGCAGTTCAATTCCAAGTATAATTGCCTTTGGTATATATAAGACCACAAAGGTGAACACAGAGTTTTCATTTATGATGCTTTGCATTTATTGCAGCACTGCAAAGAGAATGTTTAAGTAAAGTCAGTAATTTAAACTCTGCTAACAGGAATTTCTTACTTGAAGCTATCTTGCTTTGAAACATAGAGCCTCTCTAGTTCCACAATTTTGGACCAAAGTGAAAATATTAGGTAGGTAAAACCACATCACCTCCATTTGATCTCTTGTGTATGGATTCAAAAACAATAGTGTGAAGCAGCAAAAACAAAATATGCACTTTCCAAAGGAAGTGGTAAAAGAGAATGTGCATCTAACCTTCTCTAATACTAATTTAATCCAGAAACAGAATGTATATATTATTATTATTATTAACATTATACTCAAAGATGGTGACAACAGATTCCTAAAAAAGGCTCAGCTTCCAATGTTCTAAATGAATTTGCTAGAAAACTGAAGACTTCAGGTAGTTTTGTAAATACTGTATTTTCTCTCATGCAATACACTTTGGAATATAATACATATCTTTTTTATTTTTGAAAGGAAGAACATTAAAAAAATAAAAGATTTTTCCAGAGTTATGGCTGCACAGAGCAACAGGAGGGCCATTAGGGTTCAGCTGACTCTCAGTCTCCAGGGCTGTGAAATAGGAAGAAAGACAGACGTGGTTAAGAGATAGCAAAACTGCCCTAAGAAAGGTTACCTTGATTAGCAGAATATCAAGACCATTAAAAAGAAGAGAGGATCGTTGACAACTCTGGAGTAAAGAACAATGAACCACTGAGTCAACTGACTCCATTAGCTACCTGAATAGCAATGTAAAAATTGCTGCACTGTGGAACAGGAATCAAAGCAAGGTGCTTCTACCCCAGTCAGAAACTTAGTTTCCCTGATTAATATACAAACCCCAATTTTGGGGAGCTGATTTTGTGGGAAATGAAGAACATTCTATGCAAGAAAATACGGTAGAAGTTCAGCTTTTTTTTCAAAATCTCAGAATCTGATTCTGAAATCAGAATTTAAACATGATTTAAAGACATTGGGTTTCAGTGTAACATTAAGACTTGTTCTACTGTTATCACAGTTTTCAACAAAATGGCAATTACAAGCATTCAAAAATGTTGTTCTTAAAATATTATTAGCAAATACAGCAGTGATTTCTGCTTCCACCTGAGCTGTTAAAATACTGCACTGGTTTTTTACGCATTTGTTTTTAAAATCAGTTTTGTGTTGAACAAGTTAACATATGTTTTCCTGAACTTCGACCTGCTGAGACCATATACCCTTCCACTCTGATTAACCACAAAATTATTTTTTTTTGTAGAAAGGAACATAAAAAATTAAGTTCTGAATCAGCATTCAGTTGGCTGATTTTCCATGCCTCTGAACAACTCATAGCCCCAGCTGAGGTCAAGGAGACCTAGTGTATATTCAGCATTTTTGCAACTCAGTCTAAATATAGATTTAGATACTCGGCTGGCATCCACATTTTAAATTGTGACCCTGACTGTCCTGGGACCAGGACATTTCTCAGAAAATCTACTTAGTTTTTTAGAAACTAAAAACTATTCTAGTTTGCAAGGGAGACTGCAGCTATTTTTAGAGCATCTAATTTAGCAAAATCAGGCCTGACACAATCAACTATTAACACCTTCAGCATCAAAAGAAATAAATCTTGCTACTGCAAACTTTTTTAGAGTTTCCTAAGTTTGAGGAACACAAACTTTATCAAGAGTACCCAGAAAATATTTATTCTGGTATATTAAGTAGGAAATTTGCTCCAAGTGTGCTTATTTATTTTTGTGAGGTTCCTGATGATTAGCTATGTAATTAAGATGGTTTGTCCAAAGTTAAAATGCTGACAGAGAATGTTATCATTGTTCTGACTTCCTGAGCTAAATTTCACTGAGCGTACTCTATATTCCTTTGATTATAGCTAGCAAAAATAATGTCATCCTAACTACTGAAGTTATCATGTCCTGATTTGGGGAAGTTTTAGCAAAGAATTTTTCTCAGAACAGATATATGGATCAGTGATGAGACCACTGCCTACATGTTTGTGAATTTAGGGAAAGTAACTTGAACAGAGAGAAAGACAGTAGCAAGAGGATCTATCTGCCTGAATCCATTAGCATTCCTTCGTATGAAGTCTCTCTGTTCTCCTTTGTCCACAGAGTAATGATTTTGTAGAGGACTATTTTTTATTATTCTGATGCTATTGCAGGGTTATCTGATTTGATAGCAAAATAATTGCTGGACTTGTTTATATATGAAATTTTAAGAGATTGCCAAGGATACTCAAAGCACTGGACTGAAACTCTTCTTGCAAAGCAGTAAAAATTTAAATTAAATTGTAATTCTCTCTAGCTTCCACACTCTTATTTCCCATTGATGCTCACTTTATACTTTAGTGCATGAAAGAAAAAGTATATAGAAAAGGTACTATCACTACCATAAAATCACAAAAGGCATACTTTTCACCTTTTTCCATATTTTGGGCACAATATAATTATTGCCCCAAAAGTGTATAGAACCAATATACTCTAAATTCTAGCCTCTACAAGATATAGATTATATAACTGGAGGCTGTGATTTACTCTAAATCCCTCTTCTTCACCCTTCAAAACTTCCACAGAAAACAGTTCCAGAAACAAAATAAACTTTAATAGCCAACTTCTGGATACCACGCACACTATAGCTTCATGTAATTTAAGAGTAAAGAAAGGTGGGGGACAGTAATTTCTGCAGAATCTGAGGTAGAAAAATAACATATTTTTCTGTATTTAACGTAACTGTTCAAATTTATAATCCCATGTGTGCATACAAACACACACACTAATCCGAGTAGAACAAATGCATCAAGACTGTTTTATATGTTATCATATTCTTCTATGGTTACAATACCATGCAGGTTACGTGACTGTACTTACCTAACCTCAGAAAGTCTTGCTTATATCACATCTCAAACTAGATTTGTGAATGACAATCCACTTGCACACACATATTAATGTCCCACACTTGCAATGATCTCCTTGCAGGCAGACTCCTGGGCTTGTATGGAGTTCATTGCAAAAGTGAGGCCTATCACCCTAGAATAAAACATCTGTGTACATCACCTCTGATACAATATTTTTATATGATAATATGTAAAGTCTAACAAATTAAAACAATGCCTCATTTAATTTTTTTAAAGTATATATATTGATAGGAATTAAATATTGTGAATAAAATTTACAGGGCATCAATGTAAAAGAAATTACCCAAACTCTACCAAGCAATTTATTTCTATTGAGATTTACTCAGATAAAACTTGCCTTTTTCTTTAAATCTCAGTTACATCTCTTATTTCATTTAGCTGACATTGCTGGGAATATCTTTAGAAAATTGTCGACCTTGTTTTCAATGTAATCTTGAAAAACACAAACTACTCTTTAAATAAAGGTAACAAACCCAGGAGACATATGTCATAGCTTCCCTCTTCCAATGCAACAGTGAATGACAGGACACAGAAATATTCACTTCTACTGAAACTGTTTTCTATCAAAATTAACAAATTTAAATTATATGGGTTTTGTAGCTCTTACATCACTGGAAAGGCAAATGCAGCATTGCCATTCCTAACGTGCTGCTTGAATGAGTTTGAGATGTGAAATGAATTAATTTATTTAATTTACTAGTTGATTCAGATGGCTTCTCTTCTTAAAGTACATTTTTACATATAAAGAACTGGAAGCCAAATATACACCAACTGAAGTTAGTATTACAATTAAAGACCCACAACCTACCAGAATGCATATTAATCTAATGAATGGTTAACCGTCCAACTGATTTCTGAATAAAAATGCACTGTGACTTACACAAATTGAATTTTACCTTTCCTATACAAAATACCTCCTGTAATTTTTATACAGCATTATCTTCGTCACGGAGGGTTATGCTATATTATGTTAGGAATTCAGAGAGAGTAAGCAAATGTTCATGTTTAAATAATATTCAACAGTTTACAGTAAGATATAATATACACAATAGCAACGCATATACAGCAATTAATTGTCATTCACAAAAAGTATGGGAAGTTAAAAGTTTAAAAACCTTATAAATAGGGTTCAATACTGAAATTGCGATTTGGCAGATTTTGCAGAAATCACAAAATCGGGGGGGGGGGGGGGGGTGTTTAGAAAAAAAAAACAC